AAGGAAGGAGATGTGTGTGAATTCCCAAGCTTGCCACAGGTCCCCAATGGCCTAGTTTGGAATGGCTAGGACTGAGCTGACAGGATGAGGAGAAAGATGCTTGATCCTTTGCTTGATCTTGATGGATGACGGATGCAGATACCCACATTTCCAACTGAAAGGAAGCTTGTCCCCTTCAAAGAACATGCTTGTCTCCTCAGTGCACTGAGTTAATAAGGATGAACAATTTAGAAATTGGATACCCCAAATGGGGGAGACATAAATTCAAGACTTGGCTAGCTTATAAACTCTCAAGGGTGTCTTTAATTTTAAATAAGTAGAACACGGTAGGATCCCTACTGAATAGTTTTTTTTTTCCCTAGCGGGTCAAGGAACATGAGTGGGGAAAGACATTGATAGGCTTATAGGATTCTGGTGTAGATCATTGTTCACAGCACTGCAATTTTTGTTGTTGTTGTTGTTGTTAGGAGACATAGAGTCCATTCTGACCCATAACAATGCTATGCACAGCAGAAAAAAGCATTGCCTGGTCCTGCGCCATCCTCACAAGTGTTCTGTGCCTGAGCCCATTGTTGCCGCCACAGTGTCAATCCATCTCCTTTAGTGTCTTCCCCTCCTTTGCTACCCCTCGACTCTGCCAGACATGTTATCCTTCCACAGGGACTTCTCTGGTCTCTCCTGACAATATGCCCAAAATATGTAAGATAAACTCTTGCCACCCTTGCCTCTAAGGAACACTTTGGCCATACTTCTTCCAAGACATAATGGTTTATCCTGTTAGCAGTCCATGGTACTTTCGATACTCTTCTCCAGCAGCACAAGTCAAGTGCAGCCAATTTTCGTCAGTCTTCTTCATTCAATGTCCAACTTTCACATGCATGTGAACCAATTGAAAACACCAGAACTAAAGTTGGTAGGCATCATCTATTTGTGTTTTGTTCACTTATAAAATGTAATGTGCAAACGGTGCTGGTGTGTTTTCAGTTGTAGGTGTTATTTGTATCCTGTTAGATGCAAATATGATTTTATTATTGCCTTTGCTTGGAAATTAGGTGTGGTTGTAGAGCTGTGTATCAATATCAAGTTGGTCTCACACATGGGGCCAGCAGCCCGCCAACCCTGGGAACTATTGGACCCCTGACACATTCCTGTAGACCGTGGAGCCAAGCAACTCTGCACCCACTAACTGGCCTGTGATCTCTCATTATTCCCCTTCGCCATTCTGCTTCATCTGCTGGCACTGCGGGAGTCTGGGGGTGCCTCGTGCTAGCATGTGACCCATGGACTTGAATTGCACAGGGCTGGGCCATTTCCTCCATATAAAATTCTTTCTTGACATAAAGTTCTTTCTTATACCTGTAGGAGTCACTGGTTTTCTTTCTCTGGAGTACTCGGCCTAACCCAAAGGGTTGCTTGGAAGTTTGGCTGATTGTAGATTTAAAAAATGACCCGAATTAAATGAAGTGGAAATTCCAGAACTGCCTGTCTATACTAACAATAAGTGAGACTTGAGGAAACTGAAATGTTAGAGTGGCTTTTTCATGGTGAGGCCCACGGACTAGCCCACGAAGTGCCCAGAGGGCATACTTCTCATCACCACTGTAAGGACTACATCTGTGAATTGAGCGCCAGCATCCCTGAAGACTATGGATTTTACCATGGGAAATGCTTTCACTGATTTGGGAAGCCTAACTCCAGTGGGGGTAATTGGATCAAAGTGGTAGCGAGGTCAGAGTGGCAACATGTAATCAACAAAGAGGCCCATTGAGGACTGCAGGGATCACAGTTCTACTCTGTCACACATGAGGTTACCCAGAGCTGAAGTGGACTCAATAGAACCTAATGTTAGTGGTGCTGAAGAACAAAGGATTGGTATGTGAAGAGCTAATTAGAATATTTACATCCAACTAACTTCGTGGTCCGGCAGAGAAATATGTGACCCTCAGGAATCGATGGTGACTTTGATGACTGGCTTTGGTTTGATGTTCTTTCCAGAAATGATGGGAAGAAGTGTGAAATCTTAAAATAAATTACAGAATCTTCTTTTGATAGATGTAATATTAATTTATAGAAAATTAGTTATTTAATAACAATTTCACATGAAGCTGAGTTTTAAACAGTTTTTACCTTGTGCTGCTTTCTGGTTTCTCGTATTTTAAATTGTGATTTTTTTAAATGAAATAAAGCTGTTTCATTTCTATGCCATATGGAAATACTGGACAAAAAAATAATTGGAAGATACCCTGGAGTCACTTGAAGTCAGTTAGTTTGACTTTCTATGAATAACCACGTAAGCATAAGCAGGCAAAATTGATGGAGACACATCATAGCCATTTTTATAACAAATTACATACATTTTGAAGTTTTGTTGGCTAGTTTATTAGCAGAAAGTAGATGGCTAATTATATTTTTCCCCTAAATATATCTTCTCCTAATGGGAAAACATTCTAGAACTTGTCTCTGAACTTTTCATGCTAAAATATGTTCTGACACAGACCTCCAGGTCGAAATTATCCTGATATTTTAATATAAAACAACAGCTGAGATTTAATATAAACAACTACTATGCACTTTTGGTTTTAAAGTAATTAAATCTAAGTAAACCTAAGTTAATTACTGTATATAAGGTTTATATTCTGCTCAATATGTTACACAACCAAACTGCCTGGGATTCTGAGGTCATGATATGCATTCAATTAACGTCCACCAGGATTTTCTATAAAGAGGATTCCAATTTTGACCTGTGCAATGTGTGACTAGCCAACAGAGATGATAGGGAATGGAGGTTATAAACAAACAATAAAGCTGTTTTGTGATGACACTTTAGAATTGGAACAACTTCTCCTTAGCTTTTTTTTTTTTTTTTCATTTTTCTAAAGAGATACCACACCAGATTTATGTAATACAAAGGACTATTGAGCTTGTATAACTGAACTTGTAAGTTATTCTACAGTTGTTAGTGTTGTTTTTCTGAGATGTGAACATTATTCCAAGGTTACTATTGTGAGATATTATTTTTATTTCAAAATGAGTAATTTATTTCATTAAGATAACCCAGAGGAACCCCCCCCCTCATCAGACTCGACTAGAAAACACTCATAAAGGCCAACAAACAGACCTTGCACTATTTATAGACTTTTCCATTTTTGTCAATGACTTCCTTTTTGTTGTTGTTATTTTGTTTTTGTTTTTGTTATTGTTTTGTTGATTTTGACATCCTTTGTTGTTTTATTTGACTTTGCCTGGTTTTTGCACTTATTAATGGCCTGCATGTCTATCTAGATAAGATAGATGGGATAAATAATTTGGAGATGAAAAGAATGGGAACAGTGGTACCGGAGTGGTGGGAGAAAGGAAGGGTTGTGGGGAACCAACTCAGGGACAAGGGAACAAGTGAACTAAAATCAATGGGAGGAAGGTCATAGGATGCCTAGTGGGACTTAATCAAGGGCAATGTAGCAGCGAGGAATTACTAAACCTGAATGAAGGATGTACATGATGGTGGGACAAGAGGAAAGTAAAAGGAAATAGAGGAAAGAACCAGCAGGCAAAGGACATTTATAGAGGCCTAAATACAGGCATGAACATATGTAAATATATAGATAATGAGAGGGGAATAGAACTATGTACTCATATCTATATGTTAAGAATTAAGGTTGCAGATGGACATTGGTCCTCGACTCAAGTACTCCCTTAACACACGAACACTTTGTTCTAACAATCTGGCATTCTGTGATGCTCACCTTCCCAACACAATTGCAGAAGACAAAATGGGTGCATAAGCAAATGTGGTGAAGAAAGCTGCTGGTGCCTGGCTATCAAAAGATGTAGCGTCTGGGGTCTTAAAGGTGTGAAGATAAACAAGCAGCAATCTAGCTGAGAAGCAACAAAGCCCACATGGAAGAAGCACACCAGCCTGTGTGATCATGTGGTGTCGATGGAATCCGTTTTTAGGCATTCAAGACCCAGAACAAAACCATACCCAAGGTGAAAGGTGGGGGAGGGGGTATGGAGTGGAGACCCAGTGCCCATCTGTAGACAACTGGACATTCCTTCATAGGGGATCACAGGGAAGAGATGAGCCCGGCAGGGTGCAGGATAGCACTGATGAAACACAACTTTCTAGTTCTTTGGTGCTTCCTTCTATCATGACTTCAATCGGATTAGATCAAGACATGCACACTGCTACAGATAAGATCCAGGGAATACAGGATAGATAAAACCCTCAGGGCCAATAATGATAGTAGAGATACCAGAAAGATTAAGGGAAGGTGCGGGGAGAAAGAGGGAATCGATCAGAAGGATCAACCTAGGACCCCCTCCCAGGGGGATGAGTAAAGGAGAAGTTGGTGAGGGGCAACAGAGGATGATGTAAGATATGGAAATAATAATCTATATCAAGGGTTCGTGAGGGTGGGCGGGAGAGGGAGGGGGAAGAAATGGTGAGCTGATATCAGGGGCCCAAGTGGGAAGAGAATGCTTTGAAAATGATGATGGAGGCATGTGTGCAAAGGTGCTTGCTTGACACACTGGATGTATGTATGGATGGATTGTGATAAGAGATGTAAGAGCCCCCAGTAAAAGTATGTAAAAAAAAGACTAACTCCTTGATTACTTCAATGCTAGTCTCTGACTTGTTACTTTAAGGAAATGCCTGAGCAGTAGTAATGGAGATTATTAATAAAGCATACATAATTGGGAAAAAAGATAACCCAGAGCCCTTGGAATTGTAGATGATAGAGAGATAGATAGATAGATAGATAGATAGATAGATAGATAGATAGATAGATAGATAATAGATAGAACCTCTTTTCACAGGCTGCACTTTCTAATAGAAAGAGAAAATGAATATTTTTTTCTGGTGGCTTTATAGAAAACTCTTTTAAAGTGATTCAAAGAGCATCCTTATAAAAAGCATGTTTTTATATGCAACTTGATAGTGTCATATGCGTATATTCACACATTTTATTATCTTCTTCAAAATAATGTTCCATTGATAGATTTTGGCAAAGAAAACAGTACAAACGATCCTGAAGATTCTGTAGATACATTAAGACATTATCAGAGTTCCAAGAAACAATTTGAAGAGAAAAAAAGCAGATCATCCTCTTTCATCTCCTCCATGGATGAGGAGCAAAAGCCACTCTTCTCGGGACTAGTGGATTCTCCTCTGGGAAGAGGCAAAGCAACTGGACTTACTTGTGAAGAAACAGTGCCCACCTCAGGAAGAATCCACGTGGATAAAAGAAGTCATTCATGCAAAGGTAATCGAATCTGTTTTCTCTCCTCGGGGGCCCATAAAAAAGGTGACTTTCAACTCTACTGATACATGGCCATCTAATATTGTGCAATTCTACACCATGTTCACTTGATCCCAGAATGAGTGGTAATTTCCCATCAGTGGTCATCTGGGAGGTTCTTGTGGCCTTTTCGACGTCATGGACTGCCATGTTTTGGTTTGGTTTTCAAATGTGGTAATGTCCATTGTAGTGATTTCAATGGGGATTCTGATCAATGAGAGTCAGAATTCTCTTATACATATTCTCTGCCTCCTTCTCTCATCCAACCCTATAACTTTATAGCATGAAAGGTCCAGGCAGTATAATACCACAGGAAAGGCTAAAAAAAAAAGAATTTCTATTCACTAAAAATTATGAGAAAAGAGAAATCATGTATGGTTCAACAAATTTGAACAATATTTAATATCTCTACCAAAAGGAATACCCAAACATATGGGTTTTGTTATAGAATATATTCATGAGATGAGGATCAGTGCTTAATTCTTGTACTCAGATTTGACACTAAAGCAGCCATTCTCAACCC